CATATTGGTTTTTTAACTCTTTAACCTCCATTATTCAATTATTGATTAAGAAATGAACTAATAAGATGTGATCACGGATGAGAGATTCTATTCGTTGTAGTTGTCGTATCGAGCTCTTAAGATATATTCAATTAGTACGTACCCTCAGCCAGATGACTCATCGAATCAATAGCAAAAAATGCACTTTGTGGGGGCGCCACATGTCTAGACACTTTTTCAAGAACTTTTTGGATCATAGTTTGAACTCATAAAGTGTAATAGAGATTTTGGTTAAATCGAATTCTCGGGCCCAAGTCGGGTTTACGAGATCATCATTAACCGGAGGCTGAAAGCACATAAGAATGGCTGTAACAAAGCAATAGAATTTTATTATTGGTTAAAGTGTTCTCTTGTCTTCGTTGCATAGAAAAGAAAATTGACGTCCACCGTGATAATAGATCTGTTGTTGAACATTATCGTTTTGTATTGCTTCTACTTCATCAAGATCTATGCCGTCAAAAATTATTCTATGTATTCTTTGTGGAAAAAAAAGTCGTAGTGCTCGTTCAAAATACACCAAGATATGCACAAGTGAAAGAGAAGAAAAAATACGTGAAGGTTATCGACGTCGGCATGGTAAAGAATTAAATACTTCACTTTTAAATCAACAAGTGCATGTTGTTTGTTACAAGTCACTTGTCTTTGACTTGGTACCCGTGTCGACCATTACCAAGACAGGACGACCGAGAAGAATAAAAAACTGTTCTAGTCAAGCTTCAAATTTTAGTACAGCTTTAATCGATATTACAAATAATGTATCATCAGCTACATCTACATCTCATTTTACAAACAACAAAAATAATTCACTCAACACTTCGTTTTTATTTCAAAATCGAACATGTGGTCTGAATGCTTTAACTCCTATTGACATTTGTTTTGATGACGAGAATGAAGTAAGTGATGTTAATGTTCTAAATATATTAATAAGTACATTTTTTATTGTTTGCTTGTAGAATTCGAAGTTGATCGAAAAAATGTCTAAAAAAAAAAACTTCAGCTCTATTTCGTTCAGCACATCGAACTCTATTTTTACTCATCAATCAGTTATTGATCTATCAAATCAAGATATTTCTGTCACTAAAATTGTCGACTCTGATTCAACAGAAACAACAGATGAAGATTTGTCGATCAACATGGAATATCAATCTTCAACATATAGTTCATCATATACACCAGCAAAACAAAATCTAACATTGTCAAAATCTGATGATACAACAACTGCATCAAGTAGTACGACAAATGAACAGTTATCACCGGTATGTTTGAAATTGAATAACACGTGACATTTGTTCTTCAAATTTAGTATACAATGCACAGCATGTCACCAAATGATATTCTTGATGAAGTAGAAGACAACAATATACAAACATCAATCAATATTCCATCAGTAGAGACACAATCCATTTGCTCCAGTACAAGTACAACATCAAATGAAACTAAATTGAAGTTAACAACAGTAAGTTTCGCTTCTCACCACTACATAATTTGTTTTGGAACTAAATTGGAAATTAATATTTTATTTTTAATTTTATAAGGAAAAAGTATCTGCAGTTGATGTTAGTGGAGATGATTGTCCAATTGTAATGGACATTAACGATGATAATCTTTGTGAAATTATTATTGAACGTAAATATATTAAGAAAGTACGATGTCGTTCAAAACGAATTCATGCACAAGTACGCGTAATTTGTTGCAATTGTATCTAATTCACTCTTTATTTTCAGAATTCAACTCGTTCCAAGTACCATTTTCGTCGATCCAAGTCTAGAAGTCAAACGGCTGCACCATTTCCTGATGCAAGTGAAACAAATTGTTTATATTCTAACGGTTTCGATGAACTTTGTGCTTGGTTACTGTCAATAGTTCGTACTGGATCACTGGTATCTATGGGAGACATAGCCGAAGAATATAAACTTATACTGAATCGACGTCAAGAGAGAATCACAAATGGCATGCTTCGAACCACTTCAATTCGTTCTCGTCTCATAAATAAACTCGGCAATATTCTGCATTTCGAAAAAATAAGTAACTACGACGTGAGTAAATCAAATAACATTTTTTTTATTTTGAATACAGAAATTGATGAAAGCCAGAACTAAAAATCTGTAGAGGGTGTTGAAATGATTGTAATATTTGTTCTAGGGTGTTTTTGTGTCTTTATCTGATATCTCATTTTACGTTCGTTCTGCAATATCTAAACCAGAAATTTGGAATAAACCAGTCATATGTTGCAATCGCGACACAAAAACTTGTGAAAAGTTTTTAGAAGTCATTGAAGAACTTCGTTATTCAATAAAGAACCATGCACATTTATTTAAAACAATCACCACTGATCCTTCTACATTAGTTAATTTTGATGCAAATAATTTTTGGGGTTGTACCCCACTAATATTGAAAAATTTTGTTGGTATATTAACTTTAAGTAATGAATCGTTTATCAATATGAGGAAAGAGTACAATCATTATGATCTTGCAAACAAAGATATGTTTAGAAGTTCATCAAAATGGTTGAAGATCGCTTCGACCTGCTACGATCTTATCCACATGCAAAATAGCAAGAACATTACGCCCAAACACTGTAAGTTTCATTTTATTAAAAAAAAAATGCGCGTAATTTTTTTTAGATTTTTTGGGAAATGAGATTTTTCGACATAAAAGATCAAAACAATTATTAAGTATCACCAATCGACTAGGTCATACACCGAGCTACAACACAATGGTACGTCTTCATCAAGATGCAGCGTATAATAGTAGAAGAAAAACTGATCCATTTGCTATTCTTCGACAAAATAAAAAATCATCTCAATATTTACATGATTTTGCAGTCAAAGTTGCTGATAACTTCGATCTCAATCCAGATACACTATACGGTAACAACAGCATTCATATTTTGAATCAAATTATTGTCTCAACGAGTGAAAATGATGAAATTCCAACTATAGTTGCACATATTCTTGATGATGTATTAGATGAAATAGTCAAGTCAAGTGGTTCTGTTTCAGTAAGTATTCTTTCTTCTATAATGATAATGAATACAGATTATATTCTTATTTAAATAATAAGACAAATATAATCATATCAGAAATGAACTAAAATAATTTTTTTCAAATAGTTCAATGCTCCACAAACTATTATAACGATCTCAATTGATAATTCTTCTTTCTCGTACAAAATGTTTACTGATACTTCTCTGTTTCTACCATTATTTGCTTATGCACTAATTAAATATTCAAACGATAGTACCCGCATTCAAAATAATTGTTTTTCATATATTCCACCTGTTCTAATACCACTTATGTCAGGGTTTTTTGCCACTTATCTACCTTCAGAACTACATCCACCTCATACTGTATCATACCTTACACCTATTAATAAAGATCCAAGCTCCGAATTAACTGCTGAAATATGTCTTGATGATACAAAAAGTTTATTAATTGATTCTCAGCATCAAAAAGAAGGAATACTGGTGGTAGATGAAAAAATTTATCGACAATGTTTGAAAGTACGAATCTAAACTGTTGAATCTTTTTTTCCTTTTCTTCTGCTGCTAATAGGTAAAACGTCGAAAACCCAATCTTTTTCAAAATATTTTTGTGTATGTTGGAGATTTTCACTTGATGAAAAACATGATGAAAGTTATTTGGAGTATTCTTGAAGGATCTGGAATTGAAAATATACTTGAAACTATGTACAAAAGTTCTACTTTACGTGGAATACTAGAGTGAGTATTAGAATTCGATTGCTACCAATGTTGAACTTGTTTTTGTCATTCAGTGTTCAACATTTTAACAGAAGTTTGAGATGTTGTAAATTACTTTATACTGCTTTGCAAATACTCTTACTTGAAGCATTTATTTCGGATACAAGCTCGACTACATCAACAATTAATGATCTACAACATTTAAAAAAGAGAATGGAGCAAATGCCGTCTGAGTTCGTGAAATATGAGATTTCACAGAAGTGGTTCCAAAGTCTACTTGACGATATTCGTCAGACTAATATTTCAACATCTCTTCACGAATGGACAACTGAATCAGCAGCTAAAAATTCGACATATCGTCTTTGGTCCTTTGTCCTTCGTCGCCTATTGGAACCACTACTCGAATTATATATGTCTATTCGAACTGGTAATTTTTCGGCAAGAAATGCTGCTCTGAATAGGTTTGCACCAATATTTTTTTCTACAAACCATCGTAATTACAGTCGATTATGTGCACAGCACTTAGTGGATTTACAGACTTGCTCGTCCTATTTATTCAAACGTATGTCATGTGCATTTGCAGTTACTCGTTCTCGAAGAAGATTCTCAAGTGAATTAAAACTTTGCTTTAATTCTTTCAAATATTTTTTTTAAGGTATCGCACTTGATCAAATGATTGAATGTACCATTAACAAGCACGGGAAGAGTAAAGGTGGTATTAGTGGCTTATTAAATGAAGAAGCAATCAATACCTGGACAGATTCATTTGCATTTCGTGCTCTTATTACGTCAAATTTACATGAAATTTGTGGTTTGGAAACTGATGATAATTCTATGGAGGCTCATGTGGAATGTTTACAAAATAGAAAAATTTCGGATGATGGTGATTTATCGATGATAGTAAAAAAGCTTCGTAAAGAAAATATATTTACAATGGTCAATGTTAAGTGTCATAAATTACAATCTGGTCTTATTATTCATGATGATATTATTTCAAGTATAACATCATTATACGAACGTGGTGAAAAAGCATTAAATACATTCATATATGAACGACTTATTACTAAGGTGGTTCCAGTGGATATTCCACTGAAAGCAATGCCATTGTTAAGTAAGTACTTGATCAAAATTACTCCTCACCCCTGTAGTTAGTTTTGAAAAGAAGAAAGTAAAAAATTGGATGAATGAAGTAATTTTTGTTCCACCGAGAAACTTATATTCAACATGTAAGATATTTGGGTCATTTTCTTATCTCTTATTTTTCTAGAACTTGCATTAGCAGGTACATACGTGCCAGGTAGCTCGTATGTGAAGAAGAAAGGATCTACAAGTTCTCAAAATATTAAAAATTTTGACACTTTGGTTAAACTGGCTGATGAAGAAATCCGTCGAACAGTTATAATTGCTGAACAAAGAAATATTAAACCACTTTCACTATTATTTGCCCATGAATTTGCACCAACATCATTTGCTCTTTGTGACACATCCAATGTCAATTTTTTAAATCAACAAACAAAATCTAAAGTTATTGATTTCTTATATAATATGTACCCATCATCATTGTCTTCATCATGTCCAATCTCCACCAATGAAAGTGCAATTGTTATTGATGGTGGCAGTCTATTCGAAACAAAACCCCAATTGCATGTTCAAACTATTAGAGAATATGCTATTCAATTACTCGAAGTTAATCTTGCAAGTCTATTTAAAACACATGTAAACTATTTTCATTTCTTATTTAAGATTTCATGTCTCCTCTTTCTTTTTCAGAATCGCATTGATGTTGTATTTGACTCGATTGAGAGTAAAACAATTAAAATGTTTACCAAAAGATATGAAAATGATGCAGAAAAATGTGTTTATCATTTAAAGGGTGACGATAGATTAGAATCTCCATTTTCAAAATTTGTTCATTCGAATCGAGCAAGTCTTGCTGCTTGTGTTAAAGAATGTTGGATGGAGCCAAGATTAACAAAACTATTACCTAAAGGTCGACTTCTGGTGGTTGGTGGACCTGATGATTCAACAATTAAATTGCAGAATGATTCTGTACCTATACCAGATTATATTCTTGAATCAACACAAGTTGAAGTTGCAACACGTCTAATATTACACACAAATATTATTAGTCTTGATCAACAACAAAATAGTGTATTAATTCAATCACCAGAGTAAGTTGATCGAAAGTTGTTTAGTCTGAGTAGTATTCATACTCTTTTTTCTCAGTCTAAAAAAAAGAAAACGATTTATACTTGTTGTTATTCTTTTTTTAGTCCCGATGTTGTATTATTGGCAATCGCATTCAGTTCATCTATTATTCTTGATCATCTTGTGGTTAAATTGTTCAACACACATACAAAGAACAACATATATGTCGACGTAAAATACATTTCAGATGATCTTCGTCGTCAATCCATTGATCCCAAAGTCTTGCTTGTCTTGCATGTTCTATCAGGATGCGACACTACGTCATATATTAGAAATATTACCAAGGAAAAATTTTTTCAACGTTTTTTTGGTAATCCTCTTCGCTATTCATCAATCACAAATTTAATTTATGTACCACCACCTCAAGATGCGATTGATAAAGCTGAAGAGCTTCTTATCAATTGTTATCCATTCAATTTGATACCTAAATCGCTTAATGATCTTCGTGGAATGAGTAAATATTTTTAGTATATACACTAGTTTTTCGCTTTTGATTGTTGTTTAAAACAAAACTGCCTCTCAGCAGCTCTTAATATTATATATTTATTGTTTCTATTTTAGTGGCTTCTGTACGAATAAAAGATCGGTCTCGAAAGAATATCGCTGCAAGTCTTCCTCCTTCAACCATGGCGTTTCGAGAACATTGTTTGAGATGTTCGAGACAGCTGAAAATATGGCTGAGTTCGATTGAATCACATTCCATTCCACCTGCAATGTCTAATAATGGTTATGAATATTCGTACGTTATTGATCGATTCAAAATCAAATGGTCAACATTAGGTGATCAATCGAATGATTATCGTCTAGCAACATGTGGTGATTGCAAAGGAGGTTGTACGCGTTGCAAGTGCTATAAAAATAATTTATCGTGTACATTTTATTGCAAATGTGATCATAATATTTGTTCAAATCGTGTACGTATTCATTTACTGAAAATAGGAACTTGTTTACCATTTCTTCTTTCCTTTTTTTTCTTTACATAGCATACATATAATGTATCAATTGACCAATTGAACGAACAAGATTCACATCAGTTACAATCAACAAGAGCATCAACAGAAGATGATAATGAACGTAGTATAATTTTGAACGCATCGCAGTCAAACAGCATCAACAATAAAGTTAGTAAATAATTGTCATTCTTTGATATTCTCAGAAAAATTTATCTTTTTTTTACATTTAACAGAGTATTGCTGAATCTGATTTCGACGTGGCCTTAAATCAATCATATGAGAACTCTCAACTGGAATGCTCAAACATCGATCTATCTAAACCGATCAAACGTGCTCTGTTTTCAAGTATTAAGCATGATCATACTTATTGCTTAAATGATCATGTTGGAATGGAATCTCCTAAACGTCGAAGATTTTCATCAGTATCTTTGGTATGAGTTTCGAAAAATTAATTATCATTGTTTTATTCATCTCGTTTCAGGATTCTATTGATGGTCAACTTATATTTCAGTCACCTTGTGCATATTCTTCTCCGAAACATGACAAGACAATACATCCTCGAACACAAACAACTTTTGTGAGTTTACCATCTATTTTCAACCATACATAATGAATAGTTTTTTTTGTCAGAAAACACCTTTACCACCAACAACATCAACACCTCGTTCAACAGCTCGTTTTAGAAAGTCTTATGGAAAAGCAAAACCTCGTGATCGAATAAACCATTATTGACTGTTTGTGTTGGTTTTCCAATTGTGTTTTTTCTTGTTAATTTCTGGTGTTCTTACTTTTTTTGTAATCTTTGTTTTTGACAATAGTGCCATGTGTTTAATTTTTTTTGTTCTTATTGTTATTTATAAAATTCGTCAACACTTTTGACAGATTTTTTTCTCAATTAAATTTTTTTGGCAATTTGTATCATGACAGAAAAAAGATTTTCTTTATACGGCGAAGGCATTTGCATATGACGTGCTTGTAGGTTGGATTGAATCAAATCACTTAAAACTGTATTCTCAATAAAAACATTAAGGTGAAGAGAGAAATATGAGGAGAGATGCGGTAGTATTTGACGTTCTGTTGTTCTCGAGCAACTATATGGATACTTAATGTAGCGCCCTCTATTCTTTTTTATTTGCGTCTGTTCTCTTACATGCCTCTTTTTTTTCAAAAACCAAGAACACAGTTCGATAGAGATTTTTTTTCTCTATTTACTAGTATTAAAGTTGTCTCGGGCCCCATCAAAATAAAAAAGAACCAATCATAGAGTATTTGCTATTGTTTCGCTTATTTCATCATGCTTTGTCGGGTGAGGGTACGTACTAAATTATTACTTGAGAAGATTTTTATTAAGGTGTAAAGCACTTTATATTGATCAGTCAAAAATTTTCTTTCTCAGATTTCGTATCTAAAGTCCATATTTTGTGACGAAATGATCTCGAAAACTGCACGTTGTTTGATGCTTGTTGAAATGTCATTAGTAGTGTTGAGAATTTTATATGATACAAATTTTATTTGATTTTTTTCGTTCGTCCAACGTGAAATCCGAATGTTAAAAATACTTAAGGTTGACCAAAAGTTCTAATAAAAATTTTATTAAATATTGAAAATAATTGCTATGATTTTTTATACGAAATTCTGTGATGAAAACTACTCAAACTAATGATGAATGCGGTATTATATCAATGACTTATTATGTTAAGTAACTAATAACATTTGGATGAGTATGAGGTCAAGCGTTTTCGTTAAATAATTTTATACCTTATGACTTTGTTTGTCTCGAAATTTCATTAACAATAGACTTTAGATAAAATTCAATATAATAATTGTGACCGATAATCTTGTCTTTATCCACACAATGTATAAGTACAGAACCATTTGATTTAAAAAATATACAAAACAAATTTTTTGATTCAAATCTATTTCGGTGAATAATATAGTTTCATCATCTATAATAATATTACATAATTGCCATGATTCATTATCAAATTTTAATTCCGTTTTATGGTACCATGGCATCATGGAGTAAACACTTCAATATTAACTGGTTTATAAAATTAATAATAACGTTATCAGAACTTTTGGTTAACCTTAGGTAATCTATGTATCGATATAATGAAGCGAGACTAGGCGTTGATATCTTGTTTTTGTTAATTAGCAGAGTCTTCCAGAGGGGGCTACAAGTGATACCGTTTTGTTATAGTTGTGCAGGAAAAAACGATGGTAGACAATTTTTTAAGTTCTTTTTGTATCAAAGATTTGTACAAAAAGCAGAAGAAAACTTCGCAATGTATAGATGACAGTGAATATTTGATATTAAATGATTTAAATCATGGAGAGTATACTTTGACTCATGATCAATTATATGAAGCAAAAGATTTGGTTTCCACTTTCCATTTTATTGAAAAAGCCTATCTCAGAAAGAAAAGACATTTTTCATAGAACTCAGAAAAAAACATTGCTTTTTCAGATATGACAGATAGGAAACTGTGAACTCTTCCAGAATCGGGTCCGAGTTCACAAAACCATGGACCTGTAACTCCGTAATGATAAAACGAGGGAATTATCAAAATATATATATTCTGAAAGTAGAGTTTATATTCCATCGGTTCGTGAAAAAAAAATATTGTCTAGTCTCTTTTCCATTTGAAAAGTAATCCTTCTTTCTGCATGACAAGTGTCTTCGATAAATCCAAAAAGAATGAAGCTATTAGAGATTATTTTTTTCTATATTACGCATCTACTATGTATGTACAAATGTTTCTAGACACACATCAACGTTTTTCAATAAATCTTCGTTTTCTTCGCACAGAAGCACGTTTAGATAAACGATAGATTTAGAATCAGTGAGAGAAACTGCAGTGCGTGACGTATAAGGTATTAATTTATCGGAATGAAAATATTTTTGAATCTCCTTTGTTTTTCTATCAGTCGTTCTTTTCTGACCAGTAGAAGTTGATATTTTTAAGGAACGAGTGAGGTTTTTACAAAAAAAATAATTTATTTGTAAATATCATCGATCATGATAATATATTATGATTAGTAAGCATTATTTATTATATAAGTCTATCAGTTGTTAGTAGAGATATTCCGGGTCAACTTTGACCAAGATCTCGATTATCGGGACTACTAAACATAATGATTTTTTTCTGTTGGTGTCTACATGAAAAGAAACGTATGCTGTGGATAATTCTAATAAGTAAATGATTTAATCATTCTTATAATCTTTATACTTTTCCTTCGTACGATGAATGTTGTCAATGTTAATTTTGCATGTTGGAACGCTAATTTATTCTATGGTAGATTAGAAGAAAATGTCTTAGAATATGAAATAAATGATTATATTAAATGTTTGTATACAAACATGTTTTATAATGAAGAAAAATTAAATTATTCTACTTAGCAATCTTCATATATGATATATTATGTGATAAAAAATAAGGCAAAATTTGTATTATCTTTCAACCAAAATCTACTATTATTCTTTTTTTTTAATAAAATTTGATAATATTATATTTGAAATAATCCTCTTTTTCTATTGTTTAATTCTATAAAATACACGGAATTTTTTTTTCGCCACACCTCTTTCTTCTTCCATTGAATAAGCACAAGATAAGTGTACACAGAAAGTAAAAGGTCATTGATGTCT